TAAGACGGATAAAAGTTTCATCGAATCGGAGGGTCTCAAAAGTGTAACCACAGCCTATAATGCCCATTTCGGCATGTCTCTTGTCTCCTCCAACCACTTGTTCCTAAGTCCTCTTTGTATTGCCACCCCTTTTCCTACCTACCCCATCTTCGAATGTCAATATTGGGCAGTTTGCAGTCTCTTCGAGAAGGGAGTTGTCGCCATTCTTGGCCCCCGTAACCCGGCCATCTCACGGTCGATTCGCTCTTTGTCCAACCACTTCGGCCTGCCCTACTTGGAGATTCACTGGGCCCTGTCGGCTCCGGAGGGCAGTTACGCCATCAACGTACATCCGCATCATTACGCCTTTGGGATCGGCCTGTTCGAGTACATCTCTCAGGGCGAGAAGTGGAAGAAGATGACCATCATCTACAGTCGAAGAGATAGTAAGTCAAGCTACCATTCACCGATTGCAACCATCTAAACATTGTTTCAATACTTCCGCACTGAGACAGTGGCCAGTGCCTTGTAAGGCTTCAGGCGTCATTGAAATTATTTCTTTTTGTCCATTACACATTCACAAGTCGTCTTACGCTTTTGATGAACTCACTCTGTTGCTAGTGGAATGGTGTGAGGAAAAGACTCGAAGGTGGATTCCATCAAAAGACGAGACCAGATACTGTCGGCGAAGCAACCATTTCCTTCAATTTCAGTGACCTACATCGTCAGACCAGGACATCATTTCTACAGCCACATTAAAGCCAAGGAATCAAGAAAACTTACCGGCTTGTCCTAAAATGCCGAATATATACCCTAAATCTATTTGATGAGTCCCAAATCATGTATCAATCTAAAATCATGTTCATGTGCTCTTATATAACCGTAGGAAACCAGAAGTAAAAGATCAAATTGTTGACAACATGTATTTGACTTAAGGTGATGAGGGACTGGTAGATAAATTTTGCCACAACCACAAGAGTAGAGCTGAGGTTTTCCATTCAACTTAACTAGACTTGCTTTCTCAAAAGTTGTTCTCATCCCGGCTTAAGTGGGCTGTAGTTTCGGTCTTATCAACACCTCAGGCGGTAGTCGAGTCGAGCCTAACCTCTCTCCTCGGTCGTCAAGACTTAATGACGTCTTTTTTTAACTATCGTTTCCATCGCGTCATGTCGGAGTCACGTCTAGGCATTTCTATGCCTTATTTGTCTGTGTGTGTGAAAGAGAAAGAGTGTACTAATAAGCATAGCCATTAACAACAAAAGACTTGTTGAGTCATCTTTTTTTGTGGACAAACAGACACATGCGCATGCCCCTAGATTGACATATGACCTGAACTAACTACGACACTTAATACCTCATCAAATTGTTCATTCGCGACATGTTGGTTCTGTTGACTCTTCAGTCTCCATCACAAAGAAGACGACTTGATCTGTCAGCTTGGTGATCATCTTAACTTCACTCAGTCTAGTCCAATATGTAGATTACGATCATCATTCAAAGTATAAGTGCAAGATTACGCAATTTCATGTCATGTCTTTCCTTGGGCCGTTAAGCCTTAACGACCCCAAAATGAGAAGCTATGACAGGAGGTTTTGTAAACCGATTTACACGCGTACAAGCTTCCATCTCATTGTCTCAACCAGAGATGCTTACGTACATGCGCATTCTCGGTCGTGGTTTTGCCTTAAACCTCGGTAACCCTAGCCTGTCATTAGGCTCTTTTCATCATTCTGATTTGGGATAAGTATTGTGTATTGACATAGCATACACACACACACACACACTCAATCCAAAGTATCATAGTCAATATTAACGATAATCAGTTAAACTATTCCA